CGAGTCAAGCGTCTGTCAAAAGAAAAGGCTATAGAAAAAAGTAACGCTACTTGGATCACCCATTATTTTTATTTGTTTTACAATTTTACTTATTTTTTCCTTAAATTCATTAGTTTTAATATTTTTATTCCTTCATATACACTTGTTACTAATTTATTTTTATTTAATTATTCGTTGGAAAATGTACATCGAAATGGGTACGCCTTCTAAATAGATAGTTATAGAATGCTGCTTACATACACCTTACCTAAGAACTTAAATCCGTTTGAACAAAAATCGTTACCGATATAAATTTGAGCCTGATTAATAATTGATTAAGTTGTTCTCTTATGAACGTGTAAGTATATGTATAGTTTTGTTTATGAATTTCTTGTGTCCGCCGCAGTGTATGCTACAATACATGCCATACACAAACTACATACGCCAGGGCGTATGATGAACATAAAATATGTGAACTACATGAAACATGATAGAAATAAAAAAAAATATATGTATATGTATGTTCACGTAGAAAATTTCTTCTAGGTCTCTTTCACGGAGAAGGTTGGAAGCAGTGCAATATTAAATGATCTTTTTAGCGTCGTTGTAAGTCGAAAAATGGAAAAATATGCAACTTTGTTTATTTATTTATTAGTATAAATATAAAAATAATAATTTGAAGCTTGATTAGAAATACGAAAAGACTTTTCCGACTACCATTATTTCTATGTATAATTTTTAATTTTTTTTTTAATTTTACTGTTTAATTGCAAAAAAATAGCATTTTTAAGCTGTCATATTACACCGGTCAACAAACTTTTTTTGTTTCTGTTTTCGTGCTCAAATTCTGATGCTAGACATTGAAGAACACTGGAATTTTTATTCTTCCTGATTTGCTAACACAAACATTAAGGAAATCTGCAAAAACAAAATATGTCGACCTCTTAACATGTGAATAGTTCAACCAGCTGCATATATTATATATACACACACACACACACACCGAATAAAACACTATTTATTTACACATTTCCATCTGCATGAACTCTCGTGCTTGCTTTTATTATGTTCGCATACTTAACTTCACATTTATTATTTGATTGCATTGTTTACCTGTCAAATATTGCTTCAGTTTACAATTAAATCAAAATACATAATTCCTATGAAAGCATTTTGCTATGCAGCTGAAATATACTTATGTATGTATGCATGTATTTATATACACAAAATATTTTATATCTACTTTACTAACATAAACTTAACTTAAAGCCATTTTGCTAGTTTAAACTAATCATTGATTTGATATGCTAATTTGCTTACAATGCGCTTTTTGCCAACTTATATACACTACAGTTAATATTTTATATAAATTGTGCATGACTACACAATAGTGGTGATTTACTAACTTATATTTGCAGTTTACAAGCACACCTTTTCTCCAAGCATACTTAACATACACACACATTTATACATAAATGTGGCCATACAAATTATATATGCATATGTACTTACATATGTATGAGCAAGTATGCATGTGCTGAAAGCAATTCATTGCAAATTGTTTGCAATATAATATTTACTTGTTGATTTTGCAAATTTTCAAATTCAACTTTTGGCGCAAACTTTCATTTTTTTCTGTTTTTTAGCTTGTTTTTGATTACATGCAAATTCAGAAGAATTCATTTTGAGCATAAAACTATCGATTGTGCATTGCTGTGTGGTGTGTCTGTTTGTATTTTCGTATGCTGCGCATACAATAACGTGTTTATATGTGCATGTGTGTTATTGTTAATTGATGGGTTTGTCAATTGCAGTACATTTGCCTTTCAATTTTGCTTTTTATTCGCCAATATGGGTAGCTAGCGTGTGCTTTTTTGAACTTATAACAATAAGCCAATGACAATATCATTCAAAACTAGCCTTTATTCATTGTTAATTGTAGATTTTTTTAATTTTAAAGCGGAAATTTAATGTTTCAAGCCAGCAGCGCTGCAATGCAACATATTTTGGTAATTCATTTTAATTTTGGTAAAGAAAAGAAATAACTGTAAATTTGTATATTCCTACAAAGTGATTTTTGTTAGGTCATTTAAATTTCTGCATATTCACAAATAACGGTGCATTTTTATTTCTTAAAAAAAATATTTTTGGTTATTCATTTTAGTTTTCGCATACTCATAAATAACTGTAAAATTTTATACCTAAAAATTTTAAATTTCCTCTCGTGAGCTTCTGTTGGACGGCTTTCTCAAAGTTTGATTTTGGTCGGGTTGTGGTTTTGAGTTGGCACGGCTTATACAATTATGTATGTATATATGTGTTGCTTTCGGCTTCTGGCTTCGTAAGTTTAAGTTTATCAAATTTGTGCATGAAAAATGTGGTTTTTGAAACTTTCTTTTATAAAATTAAAAAATATTACAAAACCAAAAAGGAAATATTACTTGTAGAAATGAATAAAGTGAAGTGAAAAGCAACGAGTTTTTGAATATTAATTTTGACAAATTATTAAATTTGGTTAAGTTAGTTAAAATCGTTTATAAATAAATAAAAATTAAGTACATATCTTCATATGTTCAAACCATAAAATTCTTAAAATGATGTAGCAGCTCTTTTTAAGCAAACTTGTACGTACTAAAATGACAATTGTCTAGTCTTGTTATTCAATTTTATATTATATTTTGTCGAATAGCAGCTGTATTCGCACAATTATAGATACTAATAGTTTTTAAATATTTTCAATAGAAAAAGCATGATGAAAATATAATTTTAGGGGTATATTTTGATGATAAAAAAAAAAAATGTTTTAAAATTTTAAATATGTTTTAAATCAGACTTTAATATATTCGTTATATATACAAACCTCCGTTGTTTTCCCAAACATAGTCGTCCTTGTTAAGCCAACGACNNNNACAATAAAAAAAAATCAAAAACAAAAAGAAAAACAAGGGAGGAAAAGCGAAAATAATCTATGCTTAAAAGTTTATTTTTGAAATTTAGCGGTAAATTATATTTAACGCTGAATTAACATAGCAAAACATTATGCAGTTGCACAATAGAATTTCAATATATGTATATATACATACAAAAATATTTTTAAGTAAACTAAAAACTAAATAAAGCTAAAGTAATGTGGTTTTAATGGTACTTTGGCAACAACGTCGAAAGTTCGATGTAAAATACACATACTTTTAATTCTTGTTGCTGTTTTTGGAATGTTAAAGTAATAAAATCAAACTGATATGTCTGATAACTCTTGGCGTTTTTGCGCATTTTTTACACAAATAACTGCTATTAAATTAATTAAATTAAAACATAAATTTATGAATGACAATGCATTTGCTTAATATAACTTAATTCAAACTTCAATTAAGTGAACACATGAAATCTATCAAAAACTTTTTAAAAAAAAAAAGCTAAACAATTTTAAAACATGAAAAGAGTGATAAAATAAATTACTTCACTTATGAAATATAAATTTCGGCAAATGCTTTCAAATATATGCACTTACATATATGTATATATTCTCATACACTTCTTGAAAAATATCGAAATTTAAAAATTCATAATACAATTTGATTTATTATGTTATAAAATAAAAAATGTTAACTCAAATAATTACCGCTTAATTAAAAAAAATTAGCTTTAGTTTAAATATACATACATATGTATAAATTTCAGAAAGTTCGTGTTTGTGATGTGTTTGAAAGCTAATGCGCGCATTACTTCATAAAAAACCAGTTTACAATAGTGTTGTTACTGCGCACATTACCTTGCTAATATTAATTTCTTGTATATATGCACAACATATATTAATTTTTTCAGCTTTTACTTGCATAATACACCATTATCTATATTATTCATTGTTATATGTGGATTACTTCAGTTCTTTTGCTTTATTTCTCTAAGTGTACGTGTAGCATGTCTGTGTGCGTGTATGAAGTTTTGTGTTGTAATTTTTTCTTCACTGCTTTGTTCGCTCATTTCTCTTTAAGCTCAAAATGAATCTTCTGAAATATGTCCTAGAAACGATCCTTTGACGTTGCGCTATACTCGAGTTCATTGAGATTTTGAATTTCTTGTAGTTCTTGGAATTTTTCATGATCTCTGATGTGCGCATAATTGGCAGCCAGACACATGAGATAGTGCACCAGACTGAGTATGACGAGTAGGGCAGCTAATGTAGCGAGTATAAACATGACTTCGGCATTCTCAACGCCATCCTTGCAGAAGGCTTTAATCTCATATTTATCGCAGATTTTCATATCCTCCTGTTTTGTGTTCGGCGGGAACATGAAATCTAGAAGAAAGCAGTAAGAAAGAAAGGGAGGATAAAGTATGTTATTTGGAGAAAATAATATTATTGGAAAAATTTGTTAATAAATTGATTTGCGACGATTCAACCATGTCCTTCTGTTTGTTAGTCTGCCGATCCCTCAATTTTTGAGATATCCACCCACGATCTTTTTTCGCAATAGTAAAAKCATCAAAATTTTTGTTTAATTCAAACTGCTGCATACAAATACTGCTACATACAAATTGACCGATCAAGCAAGGTCTTATATGGAAAACTTTTTTATTTGACAAGATATCTTCACGAAATTTGACAGGGGTTAGTCTCCTAGGCAAAGGTATAAACTCCGGAAAAATTGTTCAGATCGGAGCACTATAAAATACAGTTGCCGTACAATCTGACCAATTGAAATCAAGATAGAGATCTTTTACACCGTTTAGATCGAGTTCAAAGATCAACAGCAAGAATCAAAGGACGGCAAAAAATCAATGGCTGAAACCAAGCTTAAAAAACGTGTTAATATAATATATTTCCAACGGAACTTACGAAATTGTGTTAAATCGATGCAACTGAGCGAACGTTCCACACTTGAGCACATATTCCAGAACATGGTGTAGATGAAGGTGACTATGACCAAGAAACATAGAATCAATATCCAAACGAAGTTCAGCAGATATGTGATGCCCATGAACTGTAAAGAAAATGAGGAAATAAAGCGAAATAATTATGACATTTTACTTCGGCAGTTAAAGGAGTAAATTTTCACTAAACAAATAAAAAAAAAAAATTGCAGGCTATTTCAACTACGCATAAGCGTAAATAATTGCAATTAACTTTGCAATTTCGTCTTACTTTACAACTACTATATACACAAACAAAGTTACAAAGAAAAAAACTGAGTAGACAATATTCAACTGCAGACTTCTTTTGTCTTTGATCAACGCTTAATTAAGTTTGGAAACTTTTCGCGGGTGAAATACGTTTCTAATTGTCGGTAAAAGTAGTCGATGTCGGAATTTTTATATAAATAAGCAATCGGTGCTAGTTCGCTCGTTCGCTAGTCAGTTCATTGTAACTGAAGCTTTTCGTACTCCATTATTTTCTGTAAGTTCGCGTGCTTTGTTTTGTTTGCATTGGACACCGTGGGCGCAGTGAAAATGTCGCATCATCTTAATATTTATACTTTTTTTGGTTGTCTATTAGCGCTGAGCCACGAACTTCCCTTCTTCCTGCCAGCCAAATTTGTTTGCTATTAACTTGTATGTATGTATGTACGTGTGTCTATGCGTGTATTTGTTAAACCTTGTTCGTTGCTGTCTTCCAACGGTTGGTTAGTTGACTGGCAAGCATTGCATTGGTTTAGTTTTGTTGTAGTTTTTGTTTTATTACTGTTGTTTTTKCTTTTCACTTACCACGGCGCACGAGATACGTCCACCCACTCGTGAACGCCACGCGCGATAGACCTTGTACCGTGTCGCTCCAGTTGCGAGAAAACCAACGAAGAGTATCATAAAGCCAAGCGCCGCCATTCCCGCAGCAATTATGACGAAAATCATTTGAATCGCTTCAATCCTGTAAAATGAAATGAATGCACAATTAGAGTCGGTTACATTAGTTGAAGAGAAATCCGAGCGGTTTTCCCTTGTTGTGTATAGTTTTTATGTAAGTAAAAGTAAGTTATGTACGTAGTTTTTTTTGCCAGTCCCGGTAAATATTGAGCAGATGGTACTACTCGACTGGTCGACTTTACTATTACTAATAGGACTAATRTAATATGTCCAACCGTGAAAATGTTTAATTAGTTCGCATCAAATTTGAAAGGTGATGATACAAGCAAAAATAGGAAAATATGTCCAGCCGTTAAAATGTAGTTTTTGGTTTTTGTCAGTCCGGGTCAATTTTGATCCGATGGTAATAAGATTGGTATTACAATCAGTAATAGGACGACATGTCCAAACATGGCTTTGGGGTTCCTTTTAATGGAATCAAACGGTACATTCTCCGATACCACGTATTTCAGCAAGGCTTGAAAATTCCACCCCGAGAAGAAAGCTTTAAATTAAATAAGTGAAAGCAACACGGTGATTGAGAGAAGAAAGCTTCAAAGTGGAATATATAAATGCTATATGTAATGTGTGTGGTTAATTTTGATAATATAAAAATATATTTTATRGAAAGTTAATATTAACTTTCAGTTTAGTGAAGCTTTAAGCCGCTGTAAGCGCTTTCTCACAACTCAAAGTAAATAAGAACTTAAAGCGAAACAGTGAAAATTTAGGGGAAGTCTTTAGCAAATTCAAGTAAATAACATGCTTAAAAACACAATTAAAATCTGAGAGTGGAGCGCAAATTGCGATATAAATAAATAGATATAAATATATATTTACTATATCTGTCAGGCGGTACACCTCAAACTCAAACTCAAGAGTGTAATAAACAGCTGCACATTACTTCAGCATATCGAAATACCTTAGATCAACGTTAATGAGGTGCGCTGATGTATTTGTAATTAACGCATATTGTCACTCTGTCACATTTCGGTTGAAATTAACAATAACCAGATGCGTTTGGACCCATTACGCATGGTCAGCATATTTAGAGTGCGGTAGCTTTGTAACGCACATACCTCATACATACAACTCTGTAACGCCCTAACGAGATACTCACCAAATTAGATGTAAATGAAACACTTGATCCATCATAATCACCGTCAACGAGGCGCCTCGATACATCGTGCCACAGAATATGCCGACACCAAGCAGGCACATGAGCGTCGCTATTAATGTGGCGTATGGTATGCGGGACATACATGATTGACAGCAGTCACCTGTAATGAAGGTAAGAAATGCGGTGAAAGTATGTTACAAAGTTACAGGGGTTTGCTAGCGGTTGAGTATATATATGCAACTACATATACATAAAGGGTATACTTAAGCGACTGCATAAACGAGTATATGTATGTATACATACATATCTATTGATGTGGGGGTATGTGAGTCAACACGATTTTAGATCCTATATTGTGATGTATGAATGGCTAAAATTGTGCGGGTATTCAGTGTTCCATACAAATTGTATTAAAGCGCATCACATTATGTAGAGGCAGCCAGGAGTCAAAGCATTTGAGTAGCTTGCAAGCTGATTGCCAGTGATTGGGTTGCCAATACTATTAAATTGGCACAAAACGGTAGAAGAGCTTCAAATATGTGTACATATCTTTGTGTAAATGTAGTTTGATGCGGTTCAGAATTGTGTGGTATATTCTTTTAAAGAGTTTTAAGCATCACCATAGATATATGGTAGTATGTGTAAGGTAAAGGGTATTATAGTGTAAAAAAAAGATTTTTTGTTTTCATTGTTTGTTATGATTTTTCAAAATTCAAATTATTTCCGAAGATTTCCGAATTTTGAGCAGTTTTATTGTGGTGGAAACTGGACCGACTTCGAGATTTCAATTGCTTGGCAATAGCAATATTTCAACTTCTAATCAACCGATTTACTTGAAATATTATATGACATGAATAATAATAGTGCAACGATAATGTGTTTAGCGCAGATAAATACATAAGTACATATTTGTAGAACTAAATATATAATATACTAATATTGGTTGTAAAGGAAGAGCAAGGCAGCGTAGACATATAATACTTAAGCATGTTTACGCAGTTTACTATGTATTGTGTAGATTTCTTTTTTTTGAAAAATTTAAAGAAATTAAATAATTATTTTAAAACTTGAAATAAATTTCCTTAAATATTCAAAATAATTTGTGAAATAAAGTGCGAACCAATAGTTATAAGCATATTTGCAGTGATGTTTGATGTATGAGTGGCTTTGAATTCAATGTGCAATTCCACGTTTATGTAATATAATGTATGAGGTACATGTTTAATAATGTGGTGATCTATAATTCCAGCCAAGAAAAAAAACTAAATTTCAGAGTGTATTTGTAATATAAAGAAAAAAAAAAAAACAAAAATACTTATCGCCGTGGCTTATCAAATATATCTAAGTTTAAAGTATTATATAGAATGGCATTTTAAGGTGTTTAAATTTTATTAATTTTTTTTTGCTAGTTATATATTTGATATCACAAGTTTTCTATGTTATTTTAATATACAATATATACTAAAMAATTTTTTGTTTTTTAAAGTACAGTTTTTCTTAATCGTTGAAATTTTAATAAGTGAATATATTCTATAAGATTTAAGTGGACATAAGCTTATAGGAAACAATTTAGTTGTACCTGCGAAGCTTATTTGAGACTCTTCGACGATAAAACAAAACTTAAACATTCAACTATCCGCAATCTTATATTCACAAAACAAAATTGTACGCCAACATGTATATACGAGTATTCTTCTCAGTGTGCAAGTATCAAGATATGAATCCAATTTGTTTCCATCAAAGTAACACTCTTAAACAAAAAACACACTTATTATGTACTATATTTATATTCATACCCTTCACATACCTATGTATAAGGCCACTCGCACTATTACTTCAATAGACGACGTACATTTTTCCTCTTGAAAGCTCAAGTCGTTCTTTTGTATGCTATGTAAGTCGAAAGAAACATTATAATACATTTTCAATGCAWACATATGTATGTACAGGTATGTATTTTTTTTTTCAATGCAATTCATTGATTTGCATATATTTCATTTCAAACAAATTTTTTCTACATTCTCTTCACTGTAAGCGCTAAAAAATCAAAACATATCTGCAGAAGCTTGAGGGAAGAATTTTGCATGTGTAAGAGGCTTCAGCAAAACGCATTGAAAAGTGACCTTTTTTTTGTTTTTTGGCGCATTTTTATACCATGAACATGGTATAATAAGTTTGCTGCTAACTTTTTACCATCCCGAGGGAAAAGCTGAACGATCGGAATCACGGCAAGAGTCAAAGAAGCATGGGAGTCACCTAAGCACTGTTCAGCCACTGTGCCTGCGTTTCTTTTATAGCGCCAGCTCGCAGCCAGCTTCCCGCGAAATCACCCCGCGACTKTTAAAATACATAACATCACGGTGCGACAGTCACCTATGCACTGGCCAGACACGGTCGCTGCGTTTCTTTTATAGCGCCAGCTCGCAGCCAGCTTCCCGCGAAATCACCTAGCGACTGTTAAACTGCACAACATCACAGCGCGACAGTCGCCTAAGCACTGGCCAGACACGGTCGCTGCGTTTCTTTTATAGCGCCAGCTCGCAGCCAGCTTCCCGCGAAATCACCTAGCAACTGTTAAACTACTTGACATCGCGGCGCTAGAGTCAACTAAGCACTGGCCAGGCACGGTGGCTGCGTTTCTTTTATAGCGCCAACTGGCAACCAGCTTCCCGCGAAATCACCTMGYGACTGTTAAACTACTTGACATCGCGGCGCCAGAGTCAACTAAGCACTGGCCAGGCACGGTGCCTGCGCTTCTTTTATAGCGCCAGCT